TGTGTGTGTGTGTGTGTGTGTTAATGTATGTCGTGTGTGAGGGTTCCCCTGGAGACAGAAAGGGTGCTGGATCCCTGGAGCTGAAGTTACAAGCAGTTGTGAGCTGCCCAAGTGAGTGCTGGGACTTAAACTCTGGTCCTCTGGAAGGACACTAGGGCTCCTAACCACTGAGCCTCCTTACCAGGCTGAAAGCAGTTAAGTTCTCTTAAATGCTGAGTCACTTCTCCAGCCCCAAGTATTCCTATTCTGCAGTTGTAGAACATTGTTGACTCAAGACGTATACACACCCAAGCAGCATTTTGCTGTCAGGCAAATCATCCCTTGGACTCAAAGCCCAGGTGACCATTATGTTGAAAGCTGACAACTCCCAACCCAAATAAAGATCTTCTGTGGCTTTCCTACTAAGGAGTTCCTGAAGTCACTCTACTTTACCCTTGCTTGATCTCCTGCCTTAATAAGACAGTTATATGCTGACAATACTGTAAGTGCACACTTGTAAGTTAGGGGGAAGAAAAGCTGTAAGGTCTATCTACAAATACTGCAGTTTTCAGAAGATACTAGGCATAAGCGCCCAACATCACATACATTCTGTAGAGCTCACTGGTGTCTAAGACAGCACCAGAAGAAGAAAGGGCTCATCAGTGAGGTGGGAAGAAATGCTATCAGCACAGGAGCAGAGAGGAGCAAACGCTCCAACACTGGATCCCAGGGAGTCTGAAACAGAACACGGTGTAATGGGCATTCTTTCCGCCAGCCTGGTCTCAGAGCTACATCAGTCCCAAATGAACACACAAATGCTTTATTAATTATGAAACTGTTGACCATTGTCTACTGCTTCTTTTTGGCTAGCTCTGATTTAATTACTAACCCATTTCTATCAATCTAAGTATTTCCATGTGGTCTAATCTTACCAGAGAAAGGGTTCAGACCTGTTACTCCTCTTGCTGTCTTATGTGGTGACTGACTCAGCATGTTCACAGAGAAGAGAGGAGAGCGATTTCCTGTTTGTCCCTGCTTATATACTGTTACTGCCCAGCTACATCACTTCCTGCCCGGCCAACCAGCCAATCAGTGTTTTATTCATTAGCCAATAAGAGAAACATATACACAGGACTTCCCCCATCAACACAGCACAGTATTGACCTCTCCATCTTCTGCTGAGGTAAATACTTCAATCGTCATAATATAAACTTTTGTTTTTCAAATAATATTTAATTCTGTAGAAAATTAACCTGAAACATGAAATACTCGAAAAAGGACAAGAACATGGAATATAGTTTTTATAGGCAATCAAAGTCATAAAATACTGTGCTTAAAGATAAAAACTTAAGGTGTGTGGTAATCAAAGCTATGTGCTAATATTATGATTGCTTCTCAAAAAAAGAGTTATAGAATTGCCATATAATTCAGCAATTCCACTTTGGGATATTTGCCTAAAAGAATTAAAGGAAAGGGCATGAATAGATTTTTTAAATCTATATCAACAGCAGTATTATTTAGAACAGTCATGAGTTTACCCAGGTGTTCACAGAAAGCTATGGATTCACAAAGTGTAATGTGAGTGTGTATATATATACACACAAATTTGTGCTTGTACAAGCGCATGCATAATTGCATAACTATTCATCCTTTAAAAGAACAAAACTTCTGTAGCATACTACCATGTAAACAAGCCTTGAAAACCAATTCTGAAGAAATCAGCCATCTTGAGCTAGGGAATCCTGGGTTTAATCTCCAGCACCACTAAAACCCAAGCCAACAACAAAAACAAACAAACAAACAAACAAGCAAACAGCAGGACTGGAGATAGAGACCTCTACTAGGCAAGAGGTGGAGGCAGATGGGTCAAGAAGTTCAAGGTCATCCTCTGCTACACAAGTTTGAGGCCATGCTCAACTATATAGTGAGGTCAAGTCCATCTGAGTACACTTTTATGACATACCATTATGATAGAATTCATACAGACAAAAAGTAGAATGCTGGATGCCAGGCATGGGGGTAGAGGATACATTAGTATTAACAAGTACTGAGTTTCATGGCTCTGAAAATTAGTTAATGGGCTGTAACTGTGCAGTTGAAAACAATAGCTACAATAATAATATCTCCATCTACTTGGTCAAATGAGCAAATCAGGTTACAAAAGAGAAAGTTAAGAGTAATAATAAATTGGCTTGTGGTAGTATCACACTAGAGATATTTAAGTAGAAAATGATCCTGAAACGAATCTATATGTAGAAGCAAGTATATACACGAAGCCTGGACACAGAGGAGAAACATTTCTGCATGCATTAGTCTAAGTCAGTAGTTCTCTTCATCTTTAAGCGATGTTTGGCGTGGGAACACAGGATGAGAGAGAGAGATGCTATGGCAACTATTGGGCAGAGGCTAGTATCAAGGAACGCCCCATGGAGGCCCCATTATACATCCGGTCTACAGTGCCAGCAGCACCAAGCCCAAGGAACTCTACTAAAGGAAATTCTGAACAGGCCAACTGAGATTGGGAAGGTCTTTTGGAAGCCAACAAGGCAGGTAATGGCTATAATCCTAGCACTTGGAGGCAGAGGCCAGCCTGAGGGGTTCTGATGAGATCCTACATCAGGAAGGTTTGGAACATCTGTTAGTAATACACATACTGTTGATTTTACATGAGCATAAGGGAAATGACTTCGGTAAGAAGTATCGTTATTAAAACTATTTTACATAGAGTAATATGTATTCATGTTACTGCACTTTCTAATTCTATGGAGAACAATGGTTATTTTCAAACTCTTATCAAGAACACGGCTTCATGTAATGTCACTGCTCTCCTGACAACATCATAAAGGAAGCTAGCTAAAGTTAGCAAGTGTCTGGTCAAGATGAAACAGAAGCCCTCACAGTCGACTCCTTGTCACCAGGGTGGCTGGACAGGGCTGCCAAAGTGGATATATATACCTGGAACAAGTTTACATTCTGACAGTCATTTCTGGCCACCTCACCTCTCTATGGCCTGTTTTTAAGAGCATGGACTTCTTCAGCCAACTGTACTTCAGTTCACTATTCTGTTAGTGCCCAGAATACAACTCTGTGTTAGGGTAGTTCTTAAGACATGTTAAACAACTGCAGAATGTGCATACATTGTTCTTCTGAATGTACTTTTAGATATCAATTGTGGGAAATGTGATTTGGACAAATGACGCTTATCAATTTACTTCCCACAGAATTCCACAAATTGTCTTAACATAAAAGAATTACTGATTAATAGTAACAGCCTATTTTATTCCATTACTACTCCCATCTTTCTTTGTTCTGAGAGCCTTTCAAATATGCAAAACGTGGCCAACAGGATAACCCAAGGCAACAGCTAACATTAGGCAGTAAGTGCAAACAGAGGTCATTTTTCATTTGTGAATACTTGCTGTCCAAGGAACTAAACTTTATCTTCATGACAACTGTGTGTGGGTGGGTGGATATGCACACACATTCGAGAGCACATCTACTAAAACCTGAGTCATGTCAAGCTTTCAGGAGGAAGTGGGGTGACAGTAAAATCAAATAAAAAACTTTAAGGACCTGTAGCTATAAACTTCTAGTGCTCTGATAATTAGGTAAGTATAAAACGGAAAGCATAGGACTTAGACTAAAGGTTTATCCCAGTAGGAATGTAAGGAATTTTCACTTGCTGCTAAATGCACCTCTTTCATAATTTCAAGATTGTTAATTTATTAAACGATCTGGAGGGGAAAAATCAGAGTGGCTCCCTACAAAGCAAGGTCCCCTGACACGATACTAATTCTTGGTGAATAGCATATCACTATACTAAAAAACACTCATTTTAAAGCCAGGCACAGTGCAGAAGTTTAAGTCATAGAACATGGGAACTAGAGGCAGGAAGAACACGAGTTCAAGGCTATCTTTTCATACATAGGAAGTATAAGGCCAGCTTGGGCTACATCAGATTCTGTCTCAAAATAAAACAAACAAAAGTGTGCAGTCAGTACTCTACCAGATACTCTGTTCCTCACAAGCAGAAGTGTTCCTTGTGCCCCAATAACAAAGTGTGCAATCCAGAATTCAGGATCCTCCACTCACCCAGAGCTGTCATCTGGACATCCAAATTGACTGCACATTAGTTTGTCCTATCTTTGGTCTTCGCTTATGTCATTTTCCTTACCCTCTAACATCTGTCTTCTACCCACCAGCAACTGAATTCTTACTTGCCAGTCTGGTCAGGCATGGGTGGGTGCCATGCCTTCCCAATCATTCCTTTGGCTAAGATCACACAAGGCTTGTAACTTGACTACCATGCAGACTTTGGCCTATTTTCTATTAGTATTTGTAGTTTAGGATTTCCAGATTTTAGCTTCTCTGGTGGCAGCTGACAAAGCACAAGATTAAAACGTCTCTGCTGACCAGACTGACATGTCCACTCCAGTCCCTGCCTTCCATTCACTCAGGACTGTGCTGGCACTCCACATGACATGGGTCTCCCAACCATAACTCTGCCTTGGTATTGCCTCTGTGGTCAGCAAAGTGCTGCTTCCAGAGATGGACCCTGGAACCCCAGGGTAGCCTACCCATCTGGCTCAAATACCAGGTCCTTTCAGTAAGGTTTACATCATCAAGTGTTGATGATGTAACTTCCAAACTTCCAAAGTTACAAAAGTTGATGTAACTTTCCAAGAGCTTCCAAACTCTCTTAACATCCAAAACAGGATAAAAGATGTAAAATCGCAACTCTGTAAGTCTCATTCCATTATCTGTTTACACTGTGGCAAACCTCAGTTAAGGAGAACACACAGAAAGACACTGCTTTCAGAATGACTAGCTGTTTCAACATCTGTACTAGTAAATGTGAGGTGTGTTTTTATTACTTTAGATCAATGAGTAAATTACAGAAACATTAAAAGGTTTCCAGGTGAAAACACCAAATTATCCCATTTACTCACATTTCACCCTGACTTTCCACATTTGAGTTATGATACAACTCAAGTTAAGCAGAGCATTGCCTAGCTAAGGCTGCACACCCCCGTTACTGTTCACTGAGCACCTGCCACCTTTCCTAAAGGAATGTGCAAAATGCTTCAATGAATATGCTTCAGGCTCATAGGCAAGGGTCATGTTCTCCAACAGGTGGGCACTTTTCACGCCATACAAAAGTCCTATTTTCTCTTTCCTGTGTGAGACAAATATTACTTTCAGAGAAAATATGGAAATGTTGAAAAAGTCTATATTCAAATTATAAAAACTGGATGGGGGTTGGGAGACAGAAAGAATGGGGATGTACATCCCTAGCATCCAGGTTAAGGATGGGAGTGGCAGCATGCAGCTGTAACCAGTGATAGCTGCTGGGGGCAGTCAGACAGGAGGGTCCCTGCAGCTCACTGTTTAGCAATCTATCCAAATTAATGAGCCCAGGGTCAACGACATCCTGTCTCCAAAATGGGGTACGGGGACTAAGGAAGACACCAGATGTCCATGTCTGGCCTGCAGAAGCACAACTGCCCACAAGCATACTTGCATACCCCATGACACACACAAATAAAAATTAAAGAAAGATGATGGTACCATGTTTTTAACACATCTTAATGTTTTAGCCATCTTTAATTTTTTTTCCTGTATATTTACTGTCTGTGTGAGTGTTTTGCCTGGATGCACATTTGTGTATCATGTGGACGTGCCCATGGAGGCCACAAAAGAGCACTGGATCCCCTGGGACTAGGGTACAGATAATTGTGAGCTACCATGTGGATGATGGGAATTGAACCTGAGTGTGGTGGAAGAGCAATCAGTGCTCTTAACTGTTGAGCCATCTCTCCAGCCCCATCCTTAAGTCTTTTGAAGTCAGCATATCAGAAACATCAGAAAATGAACTCAGAGAACTTTTAGACTAAAAGTAAATGCTAATATTATTATAGCAGATGTTAAGAATTATATGCCCCTTTGCTCGTTACCTATTTTTACCTTTTTCCGTTCTTGTTCTCTCTGTTGGAGTCTGCAGATGGAGTCGTTAGCTGCTTGCACTGAAATAAAACAGACATTAGAGTTTCAATGGCAGCCTCTGGTCAGGAAGAAACCTATGTGGATTCTTTAGATCTCAATAAACTATTAGAAATAGATACTAGCTACCAGTAGGAGGGGTGGCTGGAGGAAAAATACATTTTGTCATTCAGGGTGATGTAGCAGAAGAAAAAACATCTTTGGGCTTTGAGTTATAATCTAAAGGGCATAGAAATACTAAGCCCACTGACAAGTTGGCAGCAACTATCTCAATATTCTCCAAAAAGATCATTCAGATCAAACAAGCCTTTACGGTATGGGCCCCTCAGCTCCTCCCTTTTCTGATTTATGCTGCTGTTCTCTCATAGGCAAGGCTTGATGTCTAGATGGATTCCACGGCTTTCTACTCACTCTTCTTGCCTCTCCTGTCTTCTACCTCATCCTGGATGCTGCTACAACATTCATCTCTCCTCAGCTTGAAAAATTCATAAATCATTTCCATTTCTAAGGAACCAAAATTCTAACATAGGGTGAGCATCCCCAAATTCAAGATGCTCTAAAACCTCAAACGTTCAAGGTGCTTGTGTGATGGCACCGGTGGAAACTTCCACACCAGACCTCATGTGATAGGTCTCAGGAAAGAACTCCAGTCATAAAATATTGCACAAAACCACTCCCAGTTCTGATAGGAATCCTGAGTTCCTTGAATCTACCTATTACCAGCTGAACTTTGCTTCTACACTAACGGCAATTAGTCTGTAGGCTAAGAGCCAGCCGCCTTGGCTAGTTGTGACTGGCCTTCTGCCTTCTTGCTTGTCTGATTCCTGACATGTTTGCAGAGCCTGCTCCATGCCACGCTCTGCTCTTGCTATGCACGTACCCCTCTTAGCTCCTCATCTTACAAATCTCACCTTTACATACAATTATTTGTTCTGCATCGACCTCCTTGCTCTTCTCCAATGTACCAAGTACACGCCCACAATAGGGCTTTTGACTTGCCACTGCCCTAGAACATTTTCCTCTCAATTTTCCTGCAAGTTTCTGTCTGGGTGTCATTACTCATTTTATAAATGAGCATGGATATGATCGTTCATGAGAAAGCATAGCAAACATGCCTGGTAAGATATTAAGCATTAATAAGAATCATGTAACAGGGCTGGGGAGATGGCTGCACTATGAAGACCTAAGTTTGGATTTCCAACTGGTGTGTCTGCAAGCCCAGTACTGAGGGCAGAAACAATCTAACCAAAACGCCAGATTTAATGAGAGAAACATAGGAGAGTTGGGTCTACGGAGTGAATTCCAAACCAGCCTTAGCCATAGGAAAGACCCTGTCTCCAAAGCAAAAACAAGAACAAAAGAGAAGCTCTTCACACACAAGCAGCATTAAGTTGATGGTGTTGGTGTGCTGAGTAGCCCTCCCTCCCTCTCTCTCCCTCTTTCCTCTAATGAAAGTGTTTTTAGTTATGAAATTCCTTCAGCAGAGGCATAGCCCTACCGTGTCACCTTCTCTTACAGCTGCTGAAGCCGGAAGCCATCTAATGGCCTGCCTTCCTTCCCCTGGCTAGGGCTGACCCTACCAGGACACAAGTCCACACCAGGGCAGGGGCTGTGGTTTCTCTTTCAGAACACTGTGAACCTCCACCTCCTGGATGTAGCCAGAAGATCTATCTCATTTTCAAAAGCTGTGCCATTGGCGACTATAAACAAACTTTGCTGGATCACAGGTGATATCTACCAAATGAGGCTTAGCTTCCCAGCTGTTTTTTTTTTCTTAACAAAAAATATTAAAACAAAACAAGAGGAGTTGATTAGATCTGCCTTCTTCCTGTGGCAGTAAGTATGACATCATTCCTAAGTGTGGTACTATCATTTCCTGTTTGTCTTTTTTTCTTCCTGGCTCTGTGAACATAACTTAAAAATTGGTTCTTCTGTCTTCTTTGCTTTTCTGGGTCACTCTGAGTGCAATTTAAAAGAAAAGCTGTAGGACTTTGCCACTTTTGCTGTGCCCCGTCATGGCCCCTCCCCCAGATTATAATTACACCATTCCCCCTTCCCCTTTCCTCCCTCCAAAGCCTCCCCTATACCCCTCTTTGTTCTCTTTCAAATCCATAGCCTCTCTCTTGGTTAACTGTCATTATAAGCATCTATATATACACATATATTCCTAAATATAACCTACACAATCTGTATAAAGTTGCTTATATGCATGTTTTCAGGGCTGACCATTAAGTATTGGATGATCACCGGTGTGCTCTTCTCTGGGAGGGCAGGGAGAGGAATTTGGTGAAACAGAGTCTGACTTTTAGAGCAGGCTGGGCTGTAACTCACTATGTGCCACAAGCTTTCTTCAAACTTCTGGCAATCCTCTTGCCTCAACCTCCCAAATGCTGAGGTCAGCATTAGGAGCCACCACACCTGGTTTTCTTTTTGTCTTATTAATGATACCCTTTTGCTTTTAAACAATATAAAGATAAAGTCACCGTGCTTCAGAAGAGGAGATGGGTGAGGGAACATTCCCTTAGTATGGTGGTCACGTCTGGCTATGAGTGGGTAACCTGGAAGCTCCCTTTTCTTATCTGAAAACCAAGGGAAGATCTCCTCACCTCAAGCTTGCTGAAATTTAGAAGCCTATTAAATAAGTGATAAGCAAGATACAAGACACTTGTGTCTTCAGAATGGGACAGCTATAATGCTCTTCCCTTGGGGGATGCCTTCTTGTGCCCTAAGAGAATCTTGTTTGTTTTTGTGGTTTCTGATGAGCTGCAGATAGCATCTGGCCTGGAAGCCTCTGCTTACCCAGCTCTAGGACACGCTGCCCATGTGGGCAAGGTCCGCATCTACAGAGTTCTCAAAGATGAATTTTAGGAGATAAAGATGGTTCTATGGACAGACACAGAAGTACACAACTTATCTACTTATGCTCTACTTGATGAGAAAAGACTCCATGTTGAATCTTGTTTTAACAATTTCACACAAATGAAAACAAACAAGCTAACACGGGTTTAAAATGTCGAGCTTTACAAAATGTACTCTGCTAGGGAATGACAGCTGGACCCAGGCCCATCATTATTTCCATTAGAGCCATGAGACTTAGCAAATTAGGCACAAGAAAACCCTCATGCTGGAGCCTTTCTGCAACACCTTCCCCTTGGTTAGCAGGGAACAGCTTCAAAAGCCATGGCTAAGTTCCAACAATATGCCCCAGCCTACTCCAGGGGCCAGATCCCCAGTCACTATCATGTAATTCTTCCATCCAAGGAAAGCTGCTTCTGGGTTAGATCCTAAGTAACTGGTGATACCTTCCAACAACACTAGGAAGGCCTGAGAGCACAACAACTTCAGTCTGGAGAGGAAACCAGTCACACAATTGCTCATTGTTTCTCACTGTCTCATTCAACAGCTTTAGTAATGTTCCCAGTGGCACAGTCCTCAATTCCTATCTAAGCATCAGGGGCTAGGAAAGGGCTCAGTTGGTAAAGTGCACACAAGCATGAAGAACTGAGTTGATCTTCAGTACCCACATAAAATGGCTAGGCACAGTGGTGCACACCTGTAATCCCAGCACTGGGAGGCAGACATAGAAGGATCTCTGGGGCTGAATGGACAGCCAGCCAACCAAGCTTACTCAGAGAGCCCCAGGTTCTAATGAGAGGCTCTCTCTCTCAAGAAACAAGGTTGACATTTCCTAAGGAATGACACCTGAATTGACCCCTGGCCTCCACGTGTACACACAAACACACACACACACACACACACACACACACACACACATTCTAGGTAGTTTTCCTTGTGGCAAACTACCTAGAATGCTTGCCAGTTAGGGATGTAGCAGTATTATACAAATAAGTATATACAAATAATTATAATACAAAAGCCTAATGTCAATCTATCTATCTATCTATCTATCTATCTATCTATCTATCTATCTTTTTCTGCTGGTCTACATGAAGAAATCAAATGTGATCTTGGGAGATTTTCAACCTCATAGTACATATGACCCTCATGAGACTGCACAGCTACCTGAGAGCTTCTCCCTGCCTCCCTCACAGGCTCAATTCGTCCCCGTTCCTCACAGGTTAGTTCCACCTTGTGCTTCAGTCATCAATCATTATTCCTCTGTAGGCAAGTTGCAAGTTCTTAGTATAGACATCTGAGAGATACCTTGATGTCCTGATAGCCTCATTTTAACATCAGGCACTAGCAACAAGTTTCTTTTATGTTAAAGTATAATATTAAAAAAAACAAAAACAAAAAACACTAACAATTCCAGGACAGCCTCAAAAGCCACAGAGAAACCCTGTCTCCAAAAACCAAACACACACACACAAAACAAAACAAAACAAAAAAACACTACTTAATGCCTCGCCGGGTGTTAATCCCGGCACTCGGGAGGCAGAGGCAGGTGGATCTCTGTGAGTTTGAGGCCAGCCTGGTCTCCAGAGCGAGTGCCAGGATAGGCTCCAAAGCTACACAGAGAAACCCTGTCTCGAAAAACAAACAAACAAAAAACACTACTTAATGCAAAAACTGATAAAATACAAACATTTTTAATGGAGATTTTTTTTTTTTTTTTGCAAACAATCAAAACCTCATAGTCCATTTGGAAAAGACACTCATTTCATGGTCATTTTAAATTTTTTAAGGGTAAAAAGCACGGATTTTCTCCCATCCTAAAGTGCTTGTCTTGTGAAATGCTTGTGCACACATCTTACTTTATATAGCAATCCCAATGACATCCATGACCACCCTGGACCATCACTGTTTCTAGCTGGGTTGCCCCCTGGTCAGCCCCAGTCAGGAACACTCTCTTCCCCTCCAAAACAACACTCAGGAGACTATGCATGCGTATGGGAATGTGTAAGATTGAGGCTGAGAGCAGCTAGACTTACATCTCTGCAGGGCCTCCTCCAGGCCATCCTGCATCGTCTCCCTGCATTTGGGAAGCATGCGGTCATTTGTCTCCTGGATCATATTCTTCAAGTTCTCAAGAACTCGCAATTCTCGAAGGCCACGTTTTTCCTATTAAGAAAAAGTAAATGAGCAGGACCATAAGTCTCAGCAGTTCCTGCCTGTAGTTCCCCCCCAGGATGAGCTCATGACACTAGTAGATTACTACTAAGGAACACACATGCCTTCTTTTAATTCTCTGGCAGAAGAGGTTAAAACCTGGAGGCATTTTTATTATGAAATGTTCCAAAAGTTGCTGTAGGAGTAATATTTTTATAATAGTGTTCAGAAACAGAGGACAGAAATATTAGAGAAGCAACCAAAGAGCTTACATGATCACACATTTCATTAGAAAGAATCCTGCCCCGACTTTAATATTCATTTCACCGTTCTTACTGCCATATTGCTTCTGGTACAATGTGCTTAAAATTGTATGATTGCCTTTTTCCTCTTCAAAATAACAATGGAGGTCAAAGTAATGATATACAGCTACTTCACCATGCAGGAAAATGAGCAGTGAAGGCCTGCTATTCTTACAAAGGCCTATGTTGGCTTTCTGGGCTGGAAACCTGCCCAGGAAGCAGCTCTCTACACTGGTATGAATCTACCTCTAAGTTAGAAGTGCAGTCAGCGAGCCTAAGGTGTTTGTACTAAGAGTGTGGTTAATTCCAGCCAGTGTCTGCTTCCTTAGGTATGTGCAGTCATGGTCCATGCTAGACAGGTGTCTATGCAGCCAGCTAGGACAACACTGGGCTCCTCACTCAAGCGGCTTTGGGTCATTTATGGTTTACAAGCCTTCTCATAGTTGTTGCTGAGGACTCATACTCTCCTGGAAGCTTCTGTCTGGTTTCTCTCATACCATTTCCCACACATCTCCCTTGCTCACTGTGCTTGGGACCCTTCTGCTGTGACAGTGCAGCCTCACACACACAGCCCTATGCCGGGTCCTGTGAGTCTCAGTCAATCACTGAGCCTGGGTGGTCTCAGCATTCCATCGAAGGGAAAGTTAAACCACCTTCCCCATCCAACTTGAGTGTGGGTGAGAAACTGAGTGACTTGCTTCCAAAGAATAGCTCAGGGAAGTGAAGCACTTCACTCCACAGTGGAGGAAGCTGCAAGTGCTCCCTCAGTAAGCAATGCAGGGCTCACATCCAATGCATTCCCTCTGATGCAGGAGCAGGATAGAATGTTATGAGAGGTCACTTCTCTTTGCTGAGCCCATAAGCCCAGTCTAATCATGAGAAACACATCAGACAAACCCAGGTGGGGAGGCATTCCACAGAATCCTGGCCAGTATTTTAGACACATCCTGGTCACAAAGTAAAGACGAAGCAGGGACAATAAACTCCGGTATTTTATTAATAGCAGTTTGTCAGTGTTGTTTCTTAGTTTTTACAAATGTGAAATAACACTTTCAGAATGAGAAAATGGGCTACAGATACATGAGAACACTATAGTATCTCTGAAAAATTTCTGTAAGCCTAAAATTAATATAAATAAAATATTAAATAAATAAATAAATAAAATAACTAAAAAGGAAGGTTGCTAAGCTTGATTGCAAGAAAATAACAAATTAGTTACATTGCAGAAGCTTTTGTTGGGTTCTGAGCAAGCTTATGAAACAGCTGTGGGTAGTTTCTTATATTTTACACATTTTTCTATAACAAAAACCTTAAAACTCATACAAAAGTTGAGAGAGACGGACATAATGCCCTCATCATAGCCAAGGTCCAGCAATACTCAGCTTATACTGACTCATTTCTTCTATAAAGCCCCATGCACCACACCTCCCCAGAGCACTGGGAGGCATACTTTAGACAGACACCATTCTATTGAAAACATTTCAATACACGCCTCCCTTGAAGTAAAGGTACAGAGCTGGAGAGATGGTTCAGTGGCTAAGAGCATCGACTGCCCTTCCAGAGGACCCAGGTTCAGTTTCCAGCAATCACAGGGTGGTTCACAACCATCTGTAATTTCAGTCCCAGGGGATGCAACATCCTTTTTTGATCTCTGTGGGCACCTACCATGCACATGGTGCACATACATAAATGTAGGTGCACACACATAAAAATAATCGTAAATGTGAAAAATAAGATACAATAAAAGTCTCTCTCACACAAGGGCAATAACACTTAAATAATGATGTGTTCACAGTTCCTCAAATGCCCTATAAATGTTCTTTTCACCCATGCTTATTTGAATCTAAATATAAATAAGAGTCATACGCTGCAGCTGGTTAATATGTTTTCAATATACAGATTTTTCTTCTATCACATTTTTCCTTGGCAATTCACTATAAACAGCGAGTCATCTGTTCTGCACAGTTTCCCACAGTCTGTTTTAATGAATGACTCTCTGTGGTGTAATTTAGCATCCTCTGCTGTCTGTTCCCTTTCCTGTAAGTCAGCAGTTAGAACTAAGTGTGCAATCAGACTCAGGTTTGTCTGATTGTTTGCATGAAGTTTTCAAGGGCGGATGTCCACTCTTGAGAGAGGATGGAGGTGGCATGTCATCTTCATTTATTAACAGCGATACTGAAAGTGAAGACTGCCTTTGCTAGCAATTTGATTACTCTGGGCAACAGTCATATAAGAAAATCAAAAGAAAACACAATCTCTTTTTCTTATTTGCCAATTTAAAAACCAAAAAGTTTTAGCACATGCCTGGGATCACAGCACTTGGGAGGTCGAGGCAAGAGGATTCTGTTCAAAGGCATCCTCAGCTGCAGTTCTAAGCCAGCTTGGGCTAAGGGAGACACTATCTCAGTGGTACTGGGAGTAGCAACAGCGATAAGTCATTTCCCTGGCATCTAAGGGCAAGTAGAAGGAGACTTTGTTTACACGTATCCCAAAGATTTAAACACATCCATGTTTCTCAGGCATTACACACTCTGTTGGTACTCAGGCTTTCCAGACTTGAGCTTGTGCAGTGTCTTAGCTTTGTTCCAACCAGCTGTGGTGGCTTCAGTGAGCTTTGGCTTTCTTGATCAGGCTCTTTGCCTTGGTATTCAACTGGTACTTTTCTCTTGCCTTGGACTGGCTCTCTAAGATCACTAGCATTAGAGACAAAATTTAGAGTGCTCACATCTATAGGACGGGCCACCATACCTAGGCCATAGGGACAAGGCAGGAAATAGTCTTGTTTGTTTTTTGAATCAGGGTTTCCCTCTGAAGCCTAAGCTAGCCTGGAACTCACACATATTACAGGCTGGACCTGAACTCTGGATTCTCTTTTTTCTACCTCCCCAGTGCTGGGTTTACAGATAAGAGCTAATATGACTGACTGGCTTAGGAAAGTATTCAGTTTATATATAAAGAAAAGTTATGTCTTGAGGTCATATTGACCAAATTCAAATTACCTTCATATATTCTGTTTCTTCCCAGTTTCTAAAATGCCAACACAATTACTTAGTTCCCTGTTCTTTGACTTAATCAAACAAAAACACCAACATGATTACTAAAAACTAACATGTTTTTAAAAGGATTTTTTGGTTCTGAAGATGTATTACACTATAAATGTACAGCCAAATCACTGTTTAAGACAAGGGCTTACTATATAACCCAGGCTAGTCTGATCACTGTCTAAGACAAGGCCTTACTATATAGCTTAGGCTGGCCCAGACCTCACAATCTTTCTGCCTCTGTATCCTGAGTGCTGGGGATACAGACATGCATCTCTACACCAGCCAATCACTGTGTTCAGTGCTACTTGTAAGAATGTCTGAGTAACACTGTCACCACTCAAAACTACACAGGAGCTTCTTTATACGTAACTTGGCTTTAGGGACTGCTCTTTGATATTCAGTATTGTTTCAAGTTATATAAATAAAATACTTATATAGCTTCAAAATATAGCTATCCTTGTTTATACTTTCATTTTAGGTATATTTTTTAATGTATGTAACCATCGGTTTAAGTATAAGTATACATATATCTGGATACACACACACGAGTATATACACATAAGTTTTAAATTCATTTTAAAGCAGAATGGGATACAGAGATGTCTCATATCATTTATGAGTAAGATCCATCAGCATAGGGCTAGCTTGCTGTTCTTCCAAGAAGATCTGAGTTCAGTTGCCAGCACCCACATTGGGTAGCTCACAACCCCCTATAATTCCAGCTCCACGACATTGGATACCCTCTTCTGGCCTCTGCAGGAACTGTACTCATTTGTCCAGACACACATATATACAAAATTAAAAACAGATTCAAAAGCACACAAATCTAATCCCCCTAACCCAGCAAACATCCTATCTTGGCAACACAATGCACCACAGTTCAGGTTGCAGCCGACCTTGAGCCTATGGCTTCCTCTGCTACCCACAGGGCAAGAGAGAATTCGATCTCAGATCACTAGACAGAAAAGATTCAGTTCAAAATATTCCTTAAATGGTTAGTACTGAATATGCACCACATCTACACCTTTTCAAAAGCAAACAACCCTAAACTGGAAACTATGTATTTTAAAACCTATATAAAACATATATCTATTTGTAAGTATACACATGTGTGTCTAGCTCTAGAGGCCAGAAGAGTGCATTGGATCCATTGGAACTGGAGTTATGGACCATTGTGAACCACCTGATGGGGTGCTGGGAACTGAACTCAGGTCCTGTTAACCACTGGGTCACCTCTCCATCTCAGGAGACGACATTTTAAAGTTGGCGATTTGCTTCTTATGGCTGACAATGCTAACGCTTTGTATAACACCCGTGAAGAACATCTCCTCTCCTCATTAATGCTTATTTGTCCCTACCATAAGGCACATCAGTATTAGGTGATGTCTTGCTTTTTTCTGCAGTCTTTCCTTTTCCCTCAGGATGCAATTTAAAATGTGCCCTCTTATTTTCAGTTACTCCTTAAGAGGTGATCACTGAGTGACGACAGCTTACTTGTCATAGGCCTTCCCAGCTCCTTCCAAATTCTCATATAGTCTGTCTCTGTCCCTACATAGGCCTTACACATTGTTTTCTCCACACCATTCCCCATCTCTGTTTTGTTTGTCTGAGATAGGGTCTTCTGTACCTGAGCTTCAAACTGCCTGTGTAGCTGAAGCTGGCCTTA